TCTCAAACGCTAACTTCCTGCGTTCAAGAGACTCGAAAATATGTAAATATTTTCTCCCACCTGAGTGACCTTGCCTCTCTTATTACCATTTCGAAGATGCCACCAGTAAACCTTGAGTTTGGGTACAATGTCATAACGTGTTTTATTAAAATTAGGATTTTATTATGGCGAGATGAGCTCATTAGGATTTTGCCATTGTTAGATGTGGTGATAATTGCTTTAATTGGGCAGAAATTTTGTTGTTGATTAAAAAATATTACGCCACAGTGGAGACAGACACAGACGTTTTTTTGCGTCTGTTTTCACATTCTGAGCAACTGAAATTTAACGAGTTCGGATAAGAATTTCGATAACAGAAGATTCGACGATATTTAATAAGCATTGTCACAAGTGGTCATTAAAAATTTACAACTTTTCTTAAAACCTAAAAACTTGTAATGTACTAAAACATCAAAAAGATACAGTACAATTAATTTAAATCCACATATAGTATTACAACATAGTGATGTAAAGCTTCAATAATGCAGTAATAACATAATTATATACCTTACCAAAAATTTTTACATGGTGTTTAGTCCCAAGAAGCTATGACCGAATAAAAAATTTATTATACGATTCAACAAGAAGTGTACCTTGAAGCATTAAAAATTTAATTTGGTTACGTTGATGGTTGAATTGAAGGAAAAGAAAACTCTTTTGTTTTTTAAATAGAATTATCTCCTTCTTAATCGCGTTTTAAAGGATTGCCATTCCTTGAAAGCCCTGAATAGGGGCGAACCTAAAATTGTATTTCCAATAATAATCTTTTAAAAGTAAATCTACCGAAATTAGTTACTGCGCTTAGTACATTATCATCATATCAAAATAAATCTCCTGTTCTTACTTTTTTCTGAAATAAACATTAAAATCTATTTTTGTTTCGGAGTTCACTGCTAAGTAAGTTATAAAATACTAACTTTAACCCCTCATTAAAATATAAAGATAAAATTTATTTTAGCCTCAACAAAACCGTATTTCCAGACTACATAAATTTTACATATTTTGAAAAAACATATTCTGTACCTCGTGAATAAAGCCACCTGGTTATTTGCTTCAATTGGGCATCTGCCAATAATATCTTGATTTCTAATAAAGAAACATAGTTATTTATACAACACGTGCAAAAAGTAACTGTTTATTGCACGCAACGTGAAAATTCACACGTGCAATCACTTTTTGCATACAATACAATAACGGAATAAATTTTTATAAATAATTGTAAAAATCAGGCGTCATTCGTTGTTAGCAATAATCAATTGATTGCGCTAGCGGAATAAACAAGCACTTTTTGGACTAGTGCAGTAAAAAAAATATTTTCAATTTAAAAAAATACTTTCTCTAAACTTATTTTGTATTTTCTTGAAGCTGAACAGTGTCCCTTTTCAACACTTTAAGAGCTAAAAATTGACCAAGTAATGCCTATTAGTCAAATTGTTTTAATACAAGAAATGGTTTGAGTAAAAACACTGCCACAAGTGTGTTAAAACATATTTTTATCACGTAGATATCTGCAGCATTTTTTCACAGAGTTTAGATCGCAGCAAGCGTAAATGTTAATTAAATGTTTAAAAAACAAGCGCATTTCAAATAATAAAAATATAAAATATGTTTGTGATATTTCAACAATATTTCATTTGACCTATACTGTCCTTTAGCAAAATCAAGTTGACCTTCCACTTGAAAAATTAATGAAGATAAACAATAGCACCAATAACGATAATTTCAAGGAATTGTTGGACTTGAAATTTTTAGTTATTTAGTAGATTCCATATTTTCAGTCAATCCTATATGTTGGAGTAAAATTTAGATTTAGTTTGATCAAAATCTGTGAGCGTCTTCAATAAAATAATCTCATTTAAAAAATTGTAACTGGTATTATTTAATGAACAGTTAGTTATACCGGGTGTGAAAATGGCGGATTAACTCTCCGCCACGCTCTTAACAATCAGCTGGTGAGTCTGGGAAAAATAGTAAAAAAAATCCTTCTCACATTTTGGTGGAGTTATAGTGATTTTAAAATTGGTTCTTTTGCTACGTTTATCAACTAAACAACCCATTCATCACCACAATAACTAGTAATAAAACTTTTAGTTAATAATTCTCTCACCCATGACCATGTTTAATTACCATTTCAGTTAGAATCTACAAAGATATGGTTGTGCTGTTTTTGTAAAAATTTTATAAAATTGAAAAAAGTCTTGAGTGCCGAAGTGTTTGGGTACCCATGGTTTATTATTTTGGGTGTCCATGGAGATTTTTTTGTAAATTATTTAGAACAATTTTGGTGGACTTTGATGTTTTATTTTTGGAAAATTCTGACCTGACCTGTTTTTAAGTTAATTTTGGGACCCAGTTTTTTTTTTCAAAAATATAAACAATCTTGAGATATTAGGTATTCCTGTTTGGAAAGAATTGAAAGTGCTTTTCTTATAATATTTTAATTAATTTTCTTGCAGGATACGTCAATTGCTAAAATCAGTCTTATCTTAGCAGGTACTAGCCCCGCCCACCCACCCTCTCTTTTCTTAGAGAGTATGTCATTCGCCAAAATCAATCTTATCTTAGCAGGTACTAACCCCGCCCACCCGCCCTCTATTTTCTCAGAGGGTATCTCATTTGTCAAAATCAGTCTTATCTTAGCAGCTACTAGAGTATAGAGTGTCCTAGATAAAACTCCACAGTCTCATATCTTGAGAACGGTTAAAAATATTGTAGTTCTGTAAACGCCATTGCTTTTAGCATCATTTAGTACACAGCAAGCTTATATATTTTTTTAAATTGCGACGTATATTTGTCTTAACGGATTTTGACAGATCATTGAATTACGATTACAATGATATAAAACACCTCGGTGTATTTCATTTTAGTCAAATCTAACATATAAAATTCTCGTGTCACAGTGTTTGTAATCAACTACTCCGAAACGGCTTGACCGATTTTTATTAAATTTTTTGTGTATATTCGGTAGGTCCGAGAATAGGTCTTAAACTATTTTTTATATCCCTAAGTGATAAATGTGGCCCACCCAAAAATTTTTTTTTTTAGTTTTTGGTCAACATTTTTTATTTTTATTTTTTTTTTAAGATTTGGCGTCAAGAAATACATATAACCCTAAATTTTCACCCTTCTACCACCATCGCCCATTTTTTAATAATGATATTAGTATCTTTACTTACATGCACAGATGCGCAATAGGATTGCAAAATGGCTGTTGAATATAATCATTGTCGTACGATAAATTTGTATGTATAATTTATAATTTAATTTAATTATAATTTATTTATTTATTTTAAGTTATTTTTTTATTTAACTACCAAAATATTCACTAGAAATAATTTAATAGCAAAACAACGTTTGCCGGGTCAGCTAGTAAATTTATAAATATTAAAAAAAGTTGAGCGAAATAAAGAAGAACTACTTTATTTTGCAAAAGACAAGTAACATGTGTTTCGAAAAGAGTTTTGTGAACTAATAACACAACTTTTCGCAGTTAAAGGGGCACGAACATTTCTAATTCAATTTTTTTTAATCGTCTAAATCACGCCAAATCATTTCTGTTGAGCGTTAAATCTGGACTGCGAACTGGCCATGGAATAGGGTGTCTACTGCCGATGCAGTTTTCATCATAAATGTTTTTCAGAATTAAAAAATTCAACTATTATCAAAAATTGGTCTAGATTTCTTATATTAAATTTTGAGGGTAATAATGTTATGATAATCGCATATTAAATAAATTGTATTATTTACTTATTAGACGAAATATACATTATTTTGATTTTTATAAAGTCACAGAAATTTATACCACTATAAAACTAAAAGTTCTCTTAATTTATTTCATACATTCAGTAAAGTAGGTTTCTTTAGAAGACTTGTTCGTTTCGTAGAAGTTCTACTATATTTTTTCTTTTTGTATAACTATTGAAAACATTTCCGTGCTTTAACAATTTTTAATTAATTTTAAAAAAATTGAACCACTATTTCCAATTTATGATTGACTTTCCAATTAATAATTGACTTACTAGAAAAATGTAAGTATTTTCCGTAAAAAACAAATGAGAACACCTTATATAACTTTAAACAGACCTGCTCTACTTTAAATCCTTCCCTGTTGTTCTGATTATTATCATTATTATTTTAAACGTAACGATATAATTTTAAGCTCACAGATAAAACTGTTATAACAATTGATCGCAATAGGTTCCATGGAAACTAGTGTCGTAGGAAAAACATGATCATTCCTACCGTGTTTATATCCGTTTTTTAGCATTGTTGATACACAATTGTTAATCTATTTTAACACGAAAACATTGCTATGTGACCGTTTGCTAATTTCATAATAATTCCACTCAAGAACAATATCCCCAACTAGTTATATAATTTTTTAAGCAATTTGACCAGTCAGTTTAGATGATTGAGCACTTTATATACATGTAAACAAAAGTAAGATAAACTGATACAAAAGCGTGAAAACAAAATAGAAAAATACACAAATAAATTATTGCTCGAAATTCCTAATTACAAACAAAATTTTGTTCAACTACGTTTTATCAATTAAAATCATTTAACAGATAGAAAGCACATTTTAAAAAACTGCAAATTCTGTACTAAATTAAAGTAAAAAAGTACATTAGTAATGTAACTGTTGAAAATAAGTTCTAAGTAGGCTTAAACATCTTTAAGACTGCTGCCACATTAAAAAAGCATTATTTAAAAAAAGCTATCTTTTTACAAAGAAAAATTTTTCGACAGTTGTATCTATATTACGAGTATGATTTTTTTTCTTTTACGTTATTATCTGGTCTGTCACAAAATATTCAGTTTCATTCAAAATTTTATTGGAATTTCCATCATTGAGAATAATGAAAATCGGCCCTGAAACATTTAATCCTGAAACGGATCTCGGCACGCGCCGATTAAATTTCAGCCGTGTCGAAAAATGATCAGAACTTCCGACAACTCACCGCCGCCGCTTTTCTATGCCATTTCACGTAGTGCCAGCGAACTAATCGATTTCGGCAATAACAAAAATGATCGCCGTCCAACTCTTTCCAAACTCCTCGACAACTCCCAAGCGCGGACTTTGTTTATATGTTTACCAATGCGTCCTTGCCGGAAACGGGCCATTCATCCATGCGAAAAAAATCCGCAAAGTTATCCGCTCGAAGTTCGCAAAGTGTGAAAAATACAAAACCCGCGCATCCAATAACTCTCAATAATCGCCAAATACATCAAGCTCTAGCAACCCGAGTAGAAAATCTGAGCCAACATACCAACAAATCACGGTAAAAATGGATCGCACCTTGTCACTGGAAGTTCACCAACTGTTTCGCGGATTCCGCGCTCCCGGAAATGCAAGCTCTCACAAACCTGCACGAAGTCCACGAGAGACTGAAACGCGCGCGTTGACTTCGACACGGCAACAGCACTTTCTAATCGCACCCGCCCAGAACTCGCGCAATGCAGAGTTTCTCATGCGCGCCGTACTTTTACGCGTTTGGAGTACCATCACGAGTCCTCCGGGCATGGTAAAGACGAGTCCGGAGGTCAGGAGATAACATCGAGAAGGATGGGTTACGGTCGCAGACTTTCCCGAGGGGAAAAGGCCGGATTGACGACGCGGAGAAGACTTTTCCGCGTTGCTCTAAATTGGTCCACAAATGAACTTGAAGGCCAAATTAGGCGTTCAAGGTCGATGCTTATCCTGCGTCCTGCTGAATATCGCGGTCCGGATTCAACTAAAAATTCCTTGATGGGACTTGTACGTACGTTTTATGCTGAGTTGGACGAGAGCGGCTTGGGGATTCAGTGAAATACTGGTGGAGTAGGTGCAAGGTGTTTCGTCCAAGAGTTACATCGTTGTTCGTTGTATAAAGGTAACTACTTCTAAGAGCCGATTCATTTTTGTGATGACTATTGAAAATTTATTAATTTGTTTGATTTTTACTAGCAAAAAATAATATTATACCTTATAGTGAATGTTAAAATAGCAAGTATCTTAAATTTTAGATTGCAGTATCCAAAATTATTACCGCTGACCCGGATATGACCAGCATTCCGGCAAGACTTCTATCATTGCAATTAAATAAGACCAAATAATGATATGTAGTGATTAAAAAAATAAAACAACTTTCCAGATCAGAATTACAGCATACAAATTCCTCTGCTATTATTAGAGTTCGGGAATCTCTATGTTAATATCTCATCAAATTTCTGAATGATACGGCTGGTAACCTCTAAGGCATACTATACCTGAAATTGAGCTTTTTATTTCCCAAACGTAATCTAGGAAAATATTGTAGCAGGGTCCATTTGACCAATGGTTAATTTCATGTTTTCTATCTATTTATCAGTCGTCTGTCTATAGTCTATTATTAGATTTTTTTTTAAACTGGACAATGTAAAAGGTAAAGTAATGGTAATTTTATAATGCTATTTTTAAATAAATGTTGTTGGACAATATTTCTAAGGTCTAAAGGCAGTATTTTCTAATGGATGGCGATAGGTAGAAAAATTTTGGTCACAATTTTACCAAGTCTGCATTTTTTTCCACAAAATGTTAAACGGATCGCAAGCTTTGATTGCTCCTTCTATTTGGATCCGAGATAAAGAGCTCCAATTGTCCTTAAATTACTTACAATTAGTGTTACAACTTACAACACGTAACTAAATCTGTAACTTGTAAGTTATTAAAAACAGAAATATCGATAATATTTTGGTGTATTGAAATACAATAAAACATCCAATTTTTTCGAAAAATTATAAAACTTCATTTTACAAATTTTAGTTCTTTCTGCGAGAACTCTTATAAGTTAACAAACTTGCATTTAATGTTAAGGTAAATGTAAAGAAACATGCTAGGCGCATGTTTCAAATGAGTTTTTCGTTTACAAAATTTTGTCAAAACGTTATCAACATTTTTGCAAATACACGTATATCAGTTTGTATAGGTGCAGTACAATAACACCCTGTATAAGCAATTCTAAAAAAATATGAACGCAATGATAAATTACAATTATCATAATATTTTGCAAATTTTTAGATAGGATTTATTCGACAAAAAATTTTGAGATCAAATCATCAAGCTTTGGAGGGGATCAACAAATATATTTTCAATGAAAATTTACCATGATCACGATAATTTAAAACAATCGGTTTTGCAGATTCAAAATTAAATTACAAAATATTTGTATACAACTCACACAGATTCGTAAACTACAGGTGTAGGAATATGTTATTTTATATCATTTAAAACCCATTTACTATGTACAATTTTGATGTGACGTCATTACATTGTTGGTGGGGATGATTAGAGAAATTAATTTTGATTGGCGTGTTACCATCTACATGTTATTCGTAATACACACTCGTAAAATTTAAAAATAATCGGTTCGGTAGTTTTAGAGATTATCTGTCTGACAGACATTCACACAGACGAAAATGGGAGACCTATTTTTTCTTACTCTAGAGGTCATGAGACATCTACATGGACTCGATTACAATACTTCCTTAGCTTACGCTGGGGAAGTCAAAATCGTTTTAGGGACGGTGAAATAGTGGCATAGCTTATTCCATTTATTTTTGATGATGCTTGTTTTAAAAACCTGCTTTAGGGGTGTTTAAACAGAACTTCCCCCACCCCTTAAGTACAGTCAAACAAATCGTGCTTCTTCGAAAAATGATAAAATTTGAGTTTAGGAAATTTTATTTTTCTCTATACATTAAACAACTTACACTTGAGAAGTAAAATATTATTGTTCTGAATTCTTTAATGATCATCCTTTGGTCACCTACACTTCGCCGCTGCGTTGATTCGAACACATTACTTTACGAAAGCACACTTTGTTAATTTGTTTACATTTGTGGGATGCATGGAAAGTCGTAGAAACGAAAACGTTTTAAAATCCAATAATATTTGAGAAATGAAAAAATTGTGAAATCGTAAAATTCAAAAAGTGAAATATTTTAAAAACTATTATTATTACACATTTAAAATGAAAACTACAAAAATTGCAAAAATAAATATAAAATTAAATTTTATAAAAAAAAATGTAATCCTAGATTTTATTATTGATAAATATAAAATCCAGCTTCCGTTATTCGGAGCCAATAAGAATGAATCATCAAAACGAAATAGAGGAGGTGGGTGGGCGGGGCCCCTTTTTATTTTTTATTCCAGTGACTACTCTTAATATTGTTCAGTTTTAACTTAGCAAGTAGTAGCCCCGCCCACCCGCCCTCTATTCTCTTTGAGGGTATGTCATTTGCCAAAAATTAGTCTCAACTTAAGCAAGTACTAAGCCCGCCCACCCGCCCTGTATTTTCTTATAGGGTACGTCATTTGCCAAAGTCAGTTTTATTTTAGCAAGTACTAACAAAAACAAATGAGACATTGAAAATTTGCAAATCAAAAAATTGAAGAAACGAATAATTGAAATTGAAAAAACAAAAAATTATAAAATCGCACCATTGAATAAATCGAAAAACTGTAAAAATAAAGGAAACAAAAACCGACACGAAAAATAGCAAATAGAAAATTTGAAAAATGAAAAGTGAAAAACTGAAAAGTCGTATAAACGATAAAGTTTTAAAATCCAATAATATTTGAGAAATGGAAAAAATGAAATATTTTAAAAATTATTATTATTATTATTATTACATATTTAAAATGAAAACTACATAAATTGCAAAAAATTAGTAAAATTAAATAAAAAAAAATGTAATCCTAGATTCTATTACATATTTATTAATATAAAATCCAACTTTCGTTATTCGGAGCCAATAAGAATGAATGATCAAAATGAAATAGAGAGGGTGGGTGGGCGGGGCCCCTTTTTACTTTTTTTTTCAATTTTAGATTGCATTTTACAGTAAAAGAAGAACTGAGTTTGCCTTTTTTCTAAAGAGTAGCAAACAGTAGCCCCACCCACCCACGCCCTCTTTATTCCAGTGAATTGTCTTAATATTGTTCGGTCTTAACTTAGCAAGTAGTAGCCCGCCCACGCGCCCTCTATTTTCTTAGGGGGTACGTCATTTGCCAAAATCAGTCTTATTTTAGCAAGTACTAACAAAAAAAAAATTAAACATTGAAAATTTGCAAATCAAAAAATTGAAGAAACAAAAACAAAAAATTACAAAATTGCAACAATGAAAAATCGAAAAACCGTAAAATTAAAGAAAATAAAAAACTGAAACCAAAAATTACAAATCAAAAATTTGAAGAAAGGAAAAAATGAAGAGTGAAACTGAAAAGACGTATAAACGAAAAAGTTTTAAACTCCAATAATATTTGAGAAATGGAAAAATTCTAAAATCGTAAAATTGAAAAAGTGAAGTATTTTCAAAATTATTATTATTATCATACATTTAAAATGAAAACTACAAAAATTGCACAAAATTTAAATTTCCTTTATTCCAGGGACTACTCTTAATATTGTTCAGTCTTAACTTTCCAAGCGGTAGCTTGATAAAACGTAAGACAGTAAGTTGGTAAATTTTGCCTTTATAAAATGTTCCTATCAACATTTTCACAAGGATACATATAACAATTTGGACAGTTGCCGAACATATGAGTAGTAAGTACGGGTCAGGTCAGGTCAGGTCAGGTCAGGTCAGGTCCGGTCAGGTCCGGTCATAATACTCACTCACATTTTTTGACGTAAACATCTAAGTGGCGGACAGTATAACCGTTTTTGACATCACTATGGCAGTTTTTAAGGTTACTATGGCATTTTTTAAATCCAAAAAATTGTAGTATCTTACTGCGCGATTCTGAAAAAATATATAGCAGGAGCTATCAAAGCAATGAGGATGAAGCCAACTTCTGGAGGTCGAAATTTGCAAAAAAATGTCTTTAGTTAAGTTTCTAAAATTGCTTTTGAAGAAGTTGTCGACCAATTTCCAAAAAATTGGATCTCGTCGTGCCGATTAGAAAAATATAGCGCGTTTTTAGTTCTGGGGCTAGATTTTTGAAATATTCGACATGAAATTCATTTTTTTTTAATCCTAACAATTGACACATTTTAATGGGTGATTCTGAAAAAATGGGAGGACTTATTGAAGAAATGTGGCCGAGAGTATCTTCTGGAAGTCGAAATCTACAAGAAAACGTTTTTATGTAAGTTTCGCAAGTGGTCAAAAAAGAATCGAAATTTTCATAAGGGTGGAGAATTGAAATACTTCATGGAAAAATGGTAAGAGTTGTCGAAAAATTCAG